AAAAAAACAGTTTCTATATGGTATAGAATTCTTGAAAAGCAATGGGCTTTGCATTGAAAATTGAGTCGGAGCTTAAGTTCACTTTTTATGCATAAGGCCCATTATTTTTAGATCGGAAAACTTTGTTTCTCTTCAAAAAACTTCTAGTAATAATACCCAATTGTTTATTTACTCATTTTTTAATAGAAACTAGTTTTTGTGGTCCAAAAACACCAACAAATGCAATGGGGCAATCCACAAAAATTCGTTAGTATTAAAAATTGGTAAAATAAACATTTCCAATAGAGTTTTCCGATTGAAAAATATTGACTTTCAAGAATTGTATCCTATTTCTACGAACAACTTTTTTTCTCATAACCAATAATTCTAGGGGGTGAGAGCTTTAAAATTTGGCTTTACTTTTTGCACATTCATTTTTGGACCATCCTAATGTACATTTGCACATAGTACATACATACATATCTTTGTATTAAAATGTGCATGCCGTTACGTGTCTTAATTTTGCACATTCATTTACACATAGTATATTATTTTGTGTATTTATGTAGTTTACAGATGTTACGCTTTCAGGCATTCCCATTGTGTGGTTTTAGGAACATTTCGGAGCGCCCAGATTTTATTAAATCATATTCTGTGTCTAGAATACTATGTTCAGTCAGAGATTTGTTATGAGGTAGTGAAGTGATTATTTGAGCTGGAAGCGCTTAAAACGATAACAAAAACTTAACAACAACAACGAAAGCCAAACAATAATTAGTGGAGCAAAAAATTGAAAATGACAACGAAAAGGCAAATTTATATGCTATCAGCATTTTATAATTTAATAATATTGCATACAACAACAGCGTTTCTGGTTGAAGTAAGTACATATGTTTCCACATACCTACATATATATACATATGTACATTAGGGTGGTCAAAAGAAAATTACAGTCGCTCAAAGCAATCAAAATTTTCCATGTATTATTACTTAATAGGGGAAAAACACTTTTTCTTAGAAATGGTATAGAATTCTTGAAAATCAATTTTTTTCGATCGGAAAACCTTGGTTCTCTTCAGGAGACTGTCGATAATAATACCCACTGATATGTTTAACCATTTTCTAATAGTAATTATTTTTTTACAAAAACCCCAAGAGAAATGCAATGGGAGGACCCATAAAAATCGTTTGTATTAAAAAATGGCAAAATAAACAATTAAGTATTATAATACTATATATATAATATATAATATATATATATATAATAATAATTATTATTGAAAGTCTCCTGAACAGAAACAGAGCTCTCTGATCGAAAAATATTGATTTTCAACAATTTTATACCATTTCCACAAAAAGTGTTTTTTCCCATATAAAATACATGAAAAATTTTGAACGCTTTGAGCGACCACTCTACTTTAGCACATGCATTTTTCGGCCACCCTAATTTACATGCATATGTGTGTACATGCTCTGAACTTGGTCATGTGAACTCTTATTTTGGCACAAAAATCGTCTCCGGGGACCGAGTGGGTGGAAATTACAAACTTGTTTTTTCATATGGGAACCGACCCGATCTAATGTACATTTGTAACCCTATGTATGATTAGCGCCATCGGATAACTAATAGTAGGGGTCTTCATCTAAAGTGATAAAGGGATATATTGCTTAAATTTATCAGTTTATCCGCCTTCTTTCATGAACGCATCTTGATAAATAATTGCACAAAATTGTTTATTATTTAACTTATATGGCTTGTTACGTTTCATTCTTACCTCGTCCATTGTGTTCATTTGCTTTTATGTGTTCGTTCCAAAAGCAATTTTGCTGAAATTTATACATTTATCCACCAAAGTCGTTTGATAAAGTGATAAACTTTGGTTAAATAGATTTCCATATAAAGTTTGACAGTTCATTTATCAATATGACAAATTTATCGCTTTATCAAGTTTATCAAGAGTTTATCACTTTTAATGAAGACCCCTAATGGCTTGTGTGATACATATTAGAGTACTGCATGAGACGATCAAAATTTCCAAACGAACTGTGAACAGTAGAACTATTTATTATAACCGAGCGCAGTTGTGCTAACGGTTTTTCGATTCCCTAACGGTTGTGTAAGTGAGGGAAGTATATATAGATATATATACACCAAAATACTCAGAATGAAAGGAAAAGTCTATTAAGCCATGTCGTCCGTGTACACGATAACTTGAGAAAAATTCAGATATCTTGGAGAAATTTGCGGAAAATAATGTTGCCCTTTATCCAATACCGTATCGGTATCGGATCCAAATTGTTGAACGTGGGAATTTGAAGTACCTATAATTTTGGCATAAAATAAGGCCACCATGGGCTCATTGTGATGCCATATTAGAGCGACATTATGTCCCTCCCTCTTACGTTAGAAGGGAAACCACTTTGTCGCTGCAGTTCAACCGTACATTCACATCTTGGCACCTACGACAGTAGTTTTTTGACTGAATATCCATTCTACTTCACTGCTCATTACGTGGGTTCTCATCAGGCAGTGCCCGGTTAGAGTTCTAATTACATGTCGGGTTAGTGGACGCTTCAAGCAGAGGAGAGGGCGAGATCTACGTTTATCCAACTCAGGCCAAATATGCCTTGCTATCCCGCACTTGTGGATTCCGCAGTCCATATTTTGTTTGCCCATTCGATAAAGATTTTTTCAGCTTGAGCTTGCAGAAAGATAGCGGAGTATCCGCATTGCGAGCGGTACTAATTGCAGATTATAAGGTTCTTTTCCTTGCGAGTTCATCTGCAACACATTTGCTCAATATGTCTCTAAGGCCTGGCATCCATACGACATGAGTGACACATCTCACTGCCAATTCATTTATAGGCAATATAGACGGTGCGTCTGACTCGCTAGTCATTTGTGTACGTGTTGACTCGCCTTCGACTACACACAGTTGAGTCATTCAGAGTCATGGCAAGCTTTTATGTCGATTTGTTACAATTAAGCGCTTTTATAGCCGCCTGGCTGTCAGCAAATATAGTTACTGCATTCAAATTTCAGCTTCGTTTATAGCTGTAACTTCAGACGCAAACTGAGGCTAAGACAGAGTTCTTGCATGCCGAGCCTACTCCCTACCATCAGATCTAACTTGGAGCCATCGGTGTAAATGGCTGCTGAATCAGAGTAGGAGATTAGGGGTTGCAAAATTCCAAATAGTTTTTTTAATCAACAATTGAAAATTTGTTCAGTGTTTTGGAATTTTTTTTTTTTTCTCCTTTGATAGCAAGTGTCCGAATGAAACATTTTTTTTGTGTGCAGATTTAAAAAAACGTTAAACAAGGTTAAACTATATAATGAAATTATTTGTGTTACAGAAATATTTTTTTTTTGCTTTTCAATATTTTTTTTATGAAAAATTGAACTTTTAAGCAATTTCTGCGCCTCGTGGATGAAAATTTTTATCAACAACTTCTGTAATAAACATTTCTGCATTTATCTATGAAAAAATGCCTGCATTTCGATATAGTTTGGTCGGACTGAATTTTTATTTGCCATATGAAATTCATCGATGTTGTGAGATAGGATCTTTCTATATGCATACATATACATATGTTACTCTAATATTCTATTCTTTCAGACCACAAACTCGTCTTCTGCTTCACAATTAACCTCGGATCAACTTCTGAAGGTGGGCGTTTACTATGAGACACTCTGTCCCGATAGCCGTGAATTCGTTCGCAATTCACTTTATGATGCAATGATTATAAATGACTGGATAAAATATATCGATCTAGAATTGGTGCCATATGGAAAAGTAACGGTATGAAGGAGATATTGACTGCCATTGCCAGATTTACATATCGCACCTTAACTGGTCTATTCTGCGCTAGTAACAAAAATTTTGTAACCGGTAAATAAAGTTTACTATTAATTTGTAAACCCTTTTCCCATCCCGTGCACTCTTGTAACCTGTAAAGTTTGTTGCCATCTCATAAGTTGTTAACAAAACATTGCTCATTTCCGGTTACAAAATCATCGGTAACCAGTGATCGGACTTCTACCACATTGTGGTAGATCTGCCACTTTTTTGAGCATCTACCACATCTACCACACAAGGTCTGAAATGGACCACATATTCGCATTTTTGAGTAGTATTATTTTTGCTCGACATAATTTTCTTAAGTTTAAGAGCAAACATTGTCCAACACTAAACACTAAAAATAGGCAGAATGGGATTATAAAATAAACTGTAAATAAAATATTTAATTTTTTCAATATTCAATTCGACAGGAAACGTTTTTTTATTGTGTTAAATTGCAAAATATATGATTTATAAAAATAATTAATAGCGAAAATGTTAAAAAACGGCAATTTTTGTGAAAGTATTAGCAAATTTCAGTGCATCTAAAGTTTCTAAAGCGTTGTTTACTTTTACTTGCGAATTGTCAAAATCGGCAAATCCCAAGTAGCGGTTTCTGGAACGTGCCACATTTGTTCGCTACATCGTGATGTGATAAAAAGAAAAACTGGCAGCACTCCGCAAGGTTGCAGAAATCTTTCAAAATATGTTCGAAAAATATCTTGATATGAAAGGAACTGCTTTTGCCGAAAGTCAACGTAATTTTTAGCAACTTCAATCTTGCACTTTATTATACTAAAATTATTTTTTTTAAGATTCTAATTAAGATGTTTGCAATTTATGTTAAACCTTGCAGATTTTTTTAAATTTTTGTACAAAGTTTGATCCAAAACCTGAGATCTACCACATTTTTTTGAAATCTACCACATTTTTTTCCAGATTCTACCACACAAATTTTTTTGAAGTCCGATCACTGTCGGTAATGTGGAGAAAAGACAAAAACGTGCACATCAAAAAAATTACAAATGTGCAGGAGAAGCAAAAAACCGATGTGCTTAACTGAAGGATGTACCTCCCATTAGCGTTAACTAGACATGGTGCAAACGGCCCTTAGGGTGCGATATGTACATATTTATCATTTAGTACTTTTGTACTCGTACATATGTACATATATTTATCATGCTCCCAAGGCACATTAGCCAAGTAGGAACAGCTGGGTTGCAATTTTTATTTATTTTTTTCATTCAAAATGGCGCATGCATTGTCATTTTTATTTATAAAATCAACAACAAAATACTCTCAGCTGTTTAATGTGCCTCCCACGCGCCTCAAACTGCTCGATAGTGTCGCCAGTACAGAAATCTGTTTTGAGTTGCGAGTTTTTTTTTTACCTTTTACCTTCCTTTTATTAGCTCGGGATGTAACTATGTAATATTGATGCGCCTAAAAGATGAGCGATTTCTATTCTCAAGTTACATACCTGATACAGTACGAATGACAATTATAATAGGGAGGTTTTAGCTTTCTAAACTATAATTTTATTGCTAACTGTTTTCAGTCATGGACGGATCCCACAACAAACATAACAACTCTTTTCTGCCAGCATGGACACAGCGAGTGCGAGCAAAATGCATTGCATGCCTGCATTGTAGAGCATAACGATGTAAAAGACCAAGTGAAATTAATAAGCTGTCTAATGAATGGTCATGCGAAAAATCTTGATGAGGTACTTAAGAGCAAAAAGCATTTATTTGCAGTGTACGAAAATAAACTATATTGTACGTTACTATTTCGTTTCGTTTATTACCTCAACAGTTCGGTACAATACGAAAACAAAACGGCTGAGTTCACTTTGAGATAGTACACTACAGTAGTTTAGTAGTTACAGACGAAACAACAAACGAAATGAATCGTGCAGAGAAAAATATATGTATACATATATGTAGTACATGTTTTTTAATTGAATTGGATATGAAAATTTACAGAAAAAAATATTTTTCAAGTAATTGAAACGTTTGCATACATATAAAACGTACCCTAGGTACAATTGTCACAAACGAAAAGCAAACGTTTCTCGTTGGGGAAAATTACAGTGAATCTTACAATTGTTTCTGACTATGTACAAAAATGTACAAAACCAAAAATTATATGATGATCGATGAGCAAATGGGAATTGTTTTGTACAGTTTATTTTCGTACCCTGTTTATTTGTTTTTAAAATAAATATTTAAAACCAAGCACATCAACAATTTTTTAATTTAAAACTTTAAAATTATTTCGATTTTTTAATGAGGATTATTAAAATTCTCAATAAAAACCTTTTTTTTATTTCTTATTTAACTTTGAATACAAGTGTGGTAATGACTTGGTCATAGATGTGAGCGCTGTGAAGGAGTGTAAAGCCAAACGTAGTACGACAGATATACTAAAGAAATATGGCGAAAAGACAGATGCGTTGGATATATCTTTTGTGCCATCAGTCACGTTCGATGAAGTAAAATTTTACTTTATTAAAAAATACAAAAATATTACCTAACTATTTGTTATATTTTTATTGCAGAAATTCGATCGTTGGCGTCAACGTTATTTCATTTACAATTTTTCTGTAGTGTTCTGTCGGGAGTATAAAGCGAAATTTAATACTATACTACCGCATTGTTAGAAAAAATATCAATATCATAAAAATGTGTTAAAAAAGTCCTTTTCAATAAATTTGGAATGATGTAATTTAACACTTAAGTAATAAATAAATAAAATTTAGTGAGCAAGCACTTTTAAATAAAATAAATATCAACAACTCCAACATACGAGTTTGATGGAGTTCACAGTTTGTTTTTGGGAAAATAAATTGAAATGATGTAGTAGGCTCACAAGGAGCGAACCAAGTTATAGTCGCCCAATAGGTGCATCGAAGATACTGTAATAAATATGTACATGAAGAACTAGTAAATTATCGGCTTGCTTCGTGGCGCCCGATAAAAACTTCTGCGTTTTCCAATGTTCAAATGATGTTGGAAAGCGCCTATGATTTATAAAGTAACATTTTTTAGTCTAGGTTGAAACGACTGAAGAGCAGAACCACATTCTCACACATAACCCAAGGATGATGCTATACGACTTTCCCAGGGTACCCTGAATTACTTTGTTCGCTCCCCCATTTACGATCGCGAATTACCCCATTTCCACGGACGCATTCTTAAGTCGAATTGCCCGTTGATGCAAAATGTGAGTTATTGCTAAAAATTTATAAATTTCTGTATTAAATTGGTGATGTACACATTTGTTAACAGGGCCGAAAAGTTTAAGCTTTTGCTCGGAATTGCTTATTCAGGGTTTCCAAGCGTTATTTTAATGGAGATGCTTATTTTGCATATTTCAAGAAAACGGCCAAGAAATAGATTGCTATTATTTCGTGCGTGTGAATAGTATGGTCCGAGGAATTTTGACATCTGATATTTTACAGCCTGCTGTCTCACATTTTCCTTACGAAATAATGGAAGGGAAAATAAACTTAAGAATGGCGGCGTCTTGCACTTATTTGCAAATAGTACCACTAATTAATACTTATTAGCGTGATTTAGTTACCGCAAAGTTTACCATTTTGCAACATTTTGCAAATAATACGTGCGAATAAACGAAGTAAGTGATACCTACGCATACTTTTTTTGACAAAATTGTCTGCTCCATTTTTTGTTCCATTTTGCCCAGAAATGACATTGGAATGAATAGGGTAGGCATTACTGTAACGCTGGTATGCCGAAATTGCCAAAATTACAACAACCACCCCCTAAGTGACAACACCTTATTATTATTTCACCATGGCTTGGATACAAAAATTTAAAAATGATCTGTTTATTAATTTTACTTTTAGTACGCAGAAAAAGTGCTAATTTTTATTTGTGGACTGGTTTTGATAAATGTCCGATTAAAATTAGAGTCGGCAGCGATTTGTCCGTGATTCGCATGGTAATTGGATCTGAATTACCAACAAATGAGGATTCGCTCTTAAAATTTTGTATGGCGATTTACGTAATTCGAATGGCGGTCAAGAGTTTCAAACAAATCCAATTATTTTTTTAAATTTGGTCGCCATTTTGGATCCATCATTTTGAATTTTGAAAATCTGACATCAGATTCGTAATCAGCAATCCCAGAAACCCGCTGGAAACGTGTTTTAACCCTTGACAATGTTTAAAACGTTCAGTATCAACGTTTTAATTTTAGTACTTTTTTTAATTTGATCGCCATATTGGATCCGCCTTTTTGAATTAAAAAAAATTTATTTCAGATTCGTAATCGGCGACCCCAAAAACTCTCGAGTGCCGGGTTTCGAACAAATCCAATCATTTTTTAAAAAATGGACCGCCATTTTGGATCCGCAATTTTGAACTTCGAAAAACAAATTTCAACCCATTACAATAAGTAAATCGTTCAGTATCAACGTTTTAATTTTACTAGTGTCTTTTCGAGAGTAAATTTTCGGGAACTAGATCCATTCTAATTGTCCAAGACAGGTGTGTAATTAAGGGAAAGTTCCCCAATAATACCAGAGTAATTACATGTAAAAACCACATTTTTAGCTGCATTTTACTATGTCAAGAAAATAAAAAATTGAGAACATCAGCGTTTTTATAAAAAAACCGACAAGTGCGAAGTAGGAAAACTTTTTTTTCAACATAAAAAATACGTGTATCTTTTTTGATCACAAATACCAATATTCTAATGTAGCGTTTATGAATTTCCAAAAAGAGTGTTTTTATGAACCACTCTACTCCAGCCCCATCTATTGGTTCCATTTTTTTGTACGAATATTTCTTATCATGATACTAATACCTATTAGGAATTTCAACCAGATCGGTACTAGATATAAATACGATTTTTTATTTAATATCTCGATTCCAGTGCCATCTGCCGGCTCCACTTTTCG